GGAGTCCTCTTAAAGTGGGAGAAACCATGCAGCTCTTCACCACGGTTCTTATGTGACTACTAAGCCAAAGTAAGGAAGTCATGCTTAGCACTGGTGAGTAATTACCTCCTGTTTGATAGGAATGTATTTTTCTTGGTTTAATTGGGGCAACAGCTTACATTTCACTGTCAGATCCATTATAGGATTTGATATAAACCCCTTGCTAATCAAGAGCTTTACCTCTCTACTTTCTCCCCCCAGAGGTTATGTGTATTACAGACACAAAGCAACCACTGTAGCAGCTGGCAAAAAGCATACAGGACAAGAAGGCAGGGAAGAACTTTTGTTTGGTCTCCATTTAAACACTTCCAGTTCCTCTAAGAACAGCAGAATCCTTGTTCACTAAAAAGAGCAAGAGTTAGGTTTTGTGGAGAAGCAGGCTCCCTTTCCTCCTGCAACCAGAGATCTTCTGATCTTTGGTCTCTCCTTTCAGCTCTTTCTTATCTTAAGACTTTTTCAGAGAGAAGAAAAGCAAGAAGGTGAGCAATATATGTACAGACAATAATACTGAGCAATTCTTCTTTCAAATAGTTAAAGTCTTCTCAGCTGTAGTGTTAAAATACAATGCCCCAGAATAAATCAAAGGAGCTAAATGTAGCTGCAATCCTACAGCAGTCATCACAAGGAAATTAGGGCTATGTAAAGGTGTAAAAATATGTATGTTACCTACTGTAATATAAGAATATATGACAACTGATATTTACATGCATAACAACTTGCTCTTGTACAGAGAACATATGCAGACAAATAGTACAGAACTTAGAAAGTTTAAATTGAAGAACTGGTTTATGGATGCCTGCAGTAGGACAAAAGACAATGCTTTCCAAATGATAAAACATCCACAAGTAGAATGCCTTCCTCTAGTGTTAAAGGACCTTTCCCAAAAATGTAAGTCTTCAAACAAAGAATCCCTCCTTTGAAGAAAACCTTGTGGGACACACAAGCAGCAATACAGCACAAGAACTGAGAATTGGTATAGAGGAAGCCTTCGTCATGTACCCAAGTTAGGAGAGTCTAGTAACCCCTTGCTAAAAGGAAAACAACCAGAAGAATTCCACCAAAAGCCGCAGATGGGTAGAATGAATCTTGAACTCTTTCCTCATATCTCTATATATTACAGAGTTCATAACATATGAACAGCTTAAAACTTTTATGAAGCTTTTTACCCTGCTGTCTCTTCTGTTGATGTTAGTGATGCCTTTGCACTTTCAGCTGAAAGTATTTAGGCTCTGTATTAGGAGGAAGGTGAAATGAAGACCTCTAACTTTTGATGTAAAGAGACCAGGTAATACTAACTCTGTTTCCATAGTTTCTCACAGGAAGTCCAATGGCTTGTTTCTTAGTAGATCTCTATAGAACAACTGATGTCCCTATCGAAATCGTTTGAGTCGCTGTAATGGGCCCATAAATGCTTTTCAGCACTCTACTACTCACCAGCTTCTCTGCTAATCCTCAGGAAGGTTGTCAGTAAGGGGGAAGATCTATTCCAAGAGCTGAAATTGATACCAAGAATTTAAAGCTAGATAATGGGCCACTCAGTTGCCTAGGGTCCTCCTTCCCTCCATAAGTAGCACTCCCCCAAAGCCCCACTGCCTCTGCTCATGTCTAAAGAAAAAGGGAATTTCTCACTGACTATTGATGTTATCCATGTATAAAAGCTCAGATTAGTAAAGATTACATTAGCTTAAGAATATCCAAGAACTGGTGAAAGTTTTCCATTTCCAGGGCCTTTACTTCCTAAATCTGAGACCGTTTCACTATTTCCTGAAGATGCCTTTAAAACAGTTAAAAGCAAAGTAAAAATGACATTTTTGGAAGTGACTGACAACTGTTTTACTCAGAAGTTCTATGTGCAATTTATGACTGCTGCTTCTTCTCATCCAGAAGGGTGGTAGTGTGTAGCAACCCAGAGAAAAAATCATGCTACAGAGCACAAGCACATTATCTTGGAAGTGGCAGAAGAATGAAGTGCAGCAATAAGAAAATGGCAGTCTTCTAAACAGATGATTTCAAACAATTCTCAGTCTATAGGATGTTGAAAGGAAATCGTGGCAGAAAGATAGCAGCTAGACTCACTTCCTTGTGAAGCACTTCAGACCACCAGGGGATGGACCAGAGCAAAGGAAAGGTATTTTTTAGGGAAAACTGAGGACCTGGGGCCATGTATAACTGAACTTTGAGTAGTGGAGAACAGCAAAGGCTAGAAACTGGACTACCTATGAGGACCTAGGTGCCGAAACTATTTTGTGAAAGAAGACTTGTTAGAGAATGAAGCTGTTGAAATGGACAGTGTTTTGTTTCAGAAATACAGAAAAGGTTTCTTTTTATATCTAGGGAACCAAATTCTATATTCTAAAGAGGCAGTAGAAGGAGAAACTGCATAGCACGGAGGGTTGGGAAAGGCAGCCTATGGAAAATAGATTTTTTTTTTTATTTTTTATTTTTTCCAGGCATAGAGGAGGAGGAATAGATTTTCTTTCAATCAGTATGAAATGATATTTGGCAATAACCGTATCTATTTTGCATTATGAAAATAATTCAGTATTACAGCTAGGGCCTGCCCTGGACACATGCACCTGACAATAGTACTGTAAGATCAGGCCTGAGAGACTGAGTTTAAAAAGCTCCTTTGGTCTCATCTTGGGAGTAAGAACCCTCTGTTCTCATGCAGAAATACAGGCTGCTTCTTTCCACTTCCTCACACTTCCGTTACAGTCCACCAGCAGGGACAGGCCACTGGGGCAAAAGTTTGGTTCAGTAATATGAACATAAAATGATTAAAGTGCTGTTAGGAAAAGAAGCACCAACCACTAACAGTCAAACCAGAATATTACAACATGCGTAGGAAAGTTGTTCAGAAGGAAAAACCCTAAGCTCCAGCCAGCTGGTTTTGAAGGTATAGGAAAAGCAAACATCTGTAAGATAAAAAGTTCTCAAAAATAATATTCTTAACAGGAAAGTAAACCAGACTTCATATTCAGTATTACAAAGCTTCAGGCTTAGGAGATTTACATTTCTTAAAGCTTTAACTCAAACATCTCTTCTGAAAGGCTTCCATCAAGTTCAATTTCAAATGTAATACCTGAAAGATTTACCTCCCTTCCATGTCTCTCATCTAAAGTTGCCACTGTGGACTCTTAAGCATTTATCATAAAACCCCATGAGTCTTTAGGAAGAGTCCCCTTCCATTTGTATAAAAAATATCTCTTTTGATCCGAGAATCATCACCTCCCTTCCTTCGAAAGAAGGGGAAGAATAGCAGAGGGTCTTGCCAAGCCAAAGGTTCATCACTCTGACAGAGCAGAGCTACCTGCCTTGGCCCTGAGGCAATTCACACCCAGATGCAGGGAGTCCAGAATATGGAGTAATTCAGAAGTCCTGGAAAGCAATGTCCAGCAGCTCATTTGATCCTCTTCCTTGCTCAGAGGCTGCTCTGTAGTTAGCAATTTCTCCATGTATCATCTACCATTTAAACGTATTTTTAATGTAGGTAAATGCTCGAAGAGCAGTCAATGTTATTAACAGCTAAGAATGCTTTCTCAGTGTGACTGTGAGTTCAGATTAACATAAACCAGGTATAAATCCAACTTTCTACTTACCATTTTAACCTCTACTTTTCTCAAAATGGATTCTTAAGGTTTTGTTCTTCTTTTTCCCATTACCTAAGTTTTGCAGTATAGTATTTGAGTATAGCTCTAAATACTAGAGGAAATGCTGAAATACAGATAGGCACTTTTATGAAACACATGCAAAGATATGTAGCCTTTTAAAAGCTGATCTTTTGAGTGATCCAAGCATGGTGGCTTGGGTTTGGTTGGGATTTTCTTGTGAGAGAGAGAGAATTACTGATTACAAACCTGCAGTGAGTTAAAGTAAATTTTTTACCTGATTGAAAATATCTCCTCGAACAACTTCACAATCAACTTTGTATTTACAGATCAGGCAGGAAGCTGTTGCAAAGGAACCTGAGGGGAAGAACCCATATGGTAGAAATAAGGATTTTCAGTCATTCAGATTTGGTCTTTCTGGCCAAGCTGTTTTGACACAAAGGCTGTTATGTTGCAGTGCTATAAAAATCAGTCATTAAAAAGTAATGTAAAATTCAGAGAAGATGCTTGTAGTACTAAAAGTAGTTCCTTAGATGTTAGTCAGCAGAAATCTTGTTTCAGGAGTACTGATATACCACATGCACGTCAACACAAGTTATATCGTGTCCTCCGATTCCCCCAACCTGTGCAAGCATATACAAGAAGAGGAGAACAGAACCTTCCCTTTTCCTCCTTACAAAACTAACAGTAGCACCAGCAGCTCTGCAAACAGCAGCCGTAGAACAGGAACCTACATGAACTCAATAAAGTTGCGCAAAGTAACTTAAAAAAATGTATTAGTAAATACTTCATTATAGGCAACTAAACAGCAGCAGTACTGTTCCTTTCAGCAGAAGTGAGAACTTAAAGCTGCATTGTTCAAATTGAAATACTGTTCTGAACTTAGAATCCATCTTAGCTGCTGTGTTTATTCGGCAAGACTGTGCTAAGTGTGTTGCTCCATCCAGCCACTTGGTAGCTCTAACTGGCCTGTTTCTGAAGCAGCTGAAGGTCATGCTCGAGTATCTGGTAGAGCATTTGCATCTCGGTCTGTCTAAGGGGAAACCTTATCAGGTGGCTAACGCATATGAAAATACAGTGTGAAGTCACTGTGGCAAACTGGAGTGGTCTTTTGGTGTGTACATGTCCAGAGAGATAAGCCTATGAAGCCTTTTATCTGTGGAAGTAATAATGCTAGAAGTTCACAGAATAATGAAAAATAAAGTAGAAAAAATGTCAGATTTTCTCCTAACCATGAAACAAGGGGTAAAAAAAAAGGAATTTGGTATTTTTGACCCTGCACTGGAATGTGTCACTCACAGACTCATACAGTAGAAGTCTGGAGCTCTCTAATTTCTCATGGTGATATGAGGGCAGTAAGAAAGCCCTGTGACTGAGTAACGTTCAGGAAGGTACAAAAGCCTACCTTTGAAAAGAAACTTTCAGAAAGATAGCCATTAAGATGCTGAAAGCTTTGCAGAAGCCAGGAACGGCTAAAAACCTCTGGAACCAAAACTGTACCTAGAGTATTATTTTAAGCCACCCAAACCAAAGATGTTTTCTGCTCATAACCTACATACAGCAGCCAACCAATACTTACATTGCTAAATGAGGGGATTGTGGAACTAAGTATAACTTCAGAATGTTTTGGGAATATTGAATTTGGTTAAGACAAAGCAAAAGCAGATCATTTAAGAACCACTAGCAGTTCAGGTCTGCTAATCACAGCTGGAGTGGAAAGGGCACAGCTTCTGCAACTCTTGCTCAGCATTGTAACTCCCAGAACTTGAGGAATTCCAAAGACTACAGGAAGCGTGACAGTTATTTGCTCATTGTAATTTGTTCATAGAAGTAATTTAGGCCTTTATACAGTGTGTTAGGGACATGTCTGTCAGGCTAGCAGACCTAACTCTGTCTGAGGCATCTGTTGATACCTGCCTGCAGCTCTGAGATACTTTTCACTGTTGGAAGGACTTGATCAAGAAATGATGCTGCCCCCCATATGAGTTGTATAGCTAGCACACTGCCTCTGATCATTCAGCTACAGCAATAGCAAGGAATATGATCAAATTCCAGACACGCTGGTTGAATGCAACAGCCGTTTTAAATTCAGAAAAATGCATCTAAGATACAGTAGTTTCCATAGTAGTAACTTTACTGTAGGTCTGCAGAGTGAAATGGGTTCAAAGGTTCATATATGAACTGCCCAATTCATTACAAGCTTCCTTGTAATTTGGCACATTCATGATTAACTTGCCAATGCCACAGTTGGACAAGAAAGATAAATAATAATAACAAATACAGCAGTATGAACCCTTTCATAAAGTTTCAGTTTCTCTTCAGCCACTACCATTAGTCAACTAGCATTTGTAAAAAAGAGCAGCATAACTGTATGTCAGATAAAGCTTGATGCACTCAAAACAATCTTTGCTAATTTCCAAAGGCTGCAAAATCCACAGCATGTTTTAAAGAATCTTTTTAATTTAATATCAGCTTATACAGAACATACATTAAAGATGGTCTGAAATATTCTTACTGTAGTGCGCACCTGAAAAAATGGGAAGCTTGAGTGTGGTAGTGATGTGCAAAAACACAGCCATGTGAGAAGTTAATGATCAATACCTCATACAGAACGACAACCAAAAGAAAATGCATGGCACACTAAGCACAAATGGAAACTAGATTTGGGTTATTTGGTAAGTAGGATTCAGATGTGTGCTCTTTGGTCACCATAACAGCACCGTATTTGCTCCGTCTAAAAAAAGAATATTGACAAATCTGGCAGAGTTAAGCTATGTAGATAAAGAAACCCAGAGAGTTTGGTCCCTGGAAAAGGTGGAATTAGGCAGACAAGTCTTACAAACACGCTAGTGCTGCTTTTTTTTATTTCTTTGCCAGAAGTCTACTAAATGATCTGAAAGTGCACTTTAAGAACTAATTTTCTGCGTGCTTTCCTTATAAATGAATCCTTGAGCTCTTTGCTTGACATTTGCAACTCCTTGGAAATGGAAAGCATATAAAGCAACTAATTAAGGGATTCCACTCAATATGGTATCATAATTACAGAATGTGTATGACACTGAAGGTGTAACAAGATCATCTTCAATTCAACTGAACTGGTAATTAATCCAGAGTATTTTATACATGAGGTAAAGTCACTGAAGTGTCAGGATATTTTAGGATTTCAATTGAATATAACCTAAATAAAGAATCAGGTAACAGCCAAACTCCATTTTATTGATATACAGGGAGAAGGACCTATGAAAAGACTGATTTCCACACTATGTTCTCATACATGAATATAAAGAAGCAACAAATAAACTTTAAAACTTAAGGTCTAAGCTTGTGTGAACAGGGTATGGATCTTTACTGATGCATGAAGACCGCCATGTATCAGGCATAATTTCTGAAAGTATTTCCACTTAAATCACTTCTGATTTAAATACATAAGCTTCCTAAAAAAAAAAAACAACAACCCAACAAAACAAACTTAAAAAGCAGAGTATCTGTTGCCAAGAGATACCAATTCAACAAACCCCCCAAAAAACTTCCAGTAGTGATTACCTGGTCACATGCACCAGTAAAAATCATTCCTACACATAAAATAAGTGAAACTAAAACCACTAACCATGACACTGTATTATCCTTTGGATTCCTGCAACCTGTTCCAACGTGTCTATGTTCTGAGTATAGTTACGAAGTAGTTTTCCTTCTTTATCCATCAAAGCTATGAACTTGTGACAGAGAGATGGCTGGAACTGTCCTGGAAAGATTTCCTAGGGAATTCAGAAGTACATTAGAAATTGCAAATGGATGTATCACTGCAGCAGTTCACACAGGCCTAAATATTATCAATGACAATTGTGCTGGCAGTTAATGTTGTCACTCCCTTTGCATTTTGCCATTTCTCTCAGATCCAACTTCTCTTTCAACAGGTGAGCTTCTGATCATGTCAGGATAAATTTTTCCATGCAAGCTGGCATTTTGTTCTTCATACAGTATAAAAGCAAGGTTTCAGTCTTTTGGGGGTTTCAGAATTATGAAACAGAAAAGCCATTTTTCCTTTGGTAAGTGTCAAGTAACCTCAATATTTGTTGTTTGAAACATACATGGGGTTTAACTACAGTTGGACAAAAATTCCATGGTGAATTTGAATTCTGGTCTCTTGGTTTGGGATAAGCAGTTTTTACTCCTCAGCATTATCAGCAGCCATTCCTAGAAGATGGAAGCCCAGAAAGCAGAATGGCATTGGATATAAAGACAAGTGGTACTCAGACCAGCACTGCCAATTTAGCCAGTTACAGTAGTAACCATATGGCTTAGTAGGGCAATTCTGCTGTGCCTGATAGATGCTTAACCCCTCTGTTAGGTCAAGGTACAGAAGGTAGGTATATCTAAAGAGCATATGGAAAAAAATGTAGGCACTTTTGTAGAATGATTTGATACTTGCTCACAGTATCAATCTGGGCACTCAGCTGAAAGCTTCACGCAAGGAACCTCTGTCTGGAGCTGACCACCCCATGTGGTACCTCTGGTTGCTGTGTGATAAGGAGGACAGCAGCAGCACCGCCACCACTCTGTTGCTCAGAAGCACTTATTTAGGGGAGGAACTTGAATTTCAGACCCTCTGTTCTCCAGTCACTCTGTCACCACTGAACAGCAACTGGGATGGAGTCTCACCTGGGCAAGTGAGGCCTTTTTGTGGAAAAAGCACAAGAGTCACTGGCCAAAAGAAAGTTAGCAAGAAGGAAGCTGCTGCCTACCTTTACCAGTAAATACTTGAAGCTGAACCAAATATTCTAGAAAAACAGTGAACTGTTAAATTCATCTTTGTGACAGCTCTGCCTTCAGCTGCCATACAACCCAACTATTACTAATAAAAACTTTATGAAAGACTTTATTTTTTCCCAGAATATTTCAAGTTACTCATAATTCTGAAACTACATGGGTCTCTGGAGTTAAGGTGCAGCAATGATCAATGGTTGCTCATAGTGCTAGGTTACCTAGATTATGACTAGGGCTACTTCACAATTATAATCAGTTATTCATGTGGTCCTAACAACTTTTATATCTTAGTCTGAAGAAGCAAGATGTGTTCTGCCATTGAACTCTGAAAATTTGGCCATTCTTTGTACCTAAAATTAAAAGAACTTAAGACTTCATCAGATAAGATATTAATATTCTAACTAAACTGATGGACAAAAAAGGAGAAGTAGGAGAAATTATTTTAGTAGAAAACTATCAGCCACATTGGACCATTCTGGTAAAACCTGTGTATTGACAGGCTTCAATTAAGTCAACTTTTTTCTTTTTGTTTGCTGTTCTGGTGGGATTTGTGGTTGGGTTGGTGTTTTTTGGTTGGTTGGTTGGTTTGTTCTAATATTCAAAAAAAAACCCCAACACCAAAAGAGAACAACCAAGGAACTGAGTATACTAATGAACATCAAAACGTATTAGTATCTGGATAGGGGGCTTTCAGAGAAAGATGAGCAGCTGCAAAATGCATTTATTTTTCTTTTCCGATCTTTATAACGTAACACAGCAGTAGTATAAATAGTGAGCAAAGGGAAGAAAGAGTGAGCAAAACTAGTAGTGATTGATTTTGACAGTCTTTACTGGTCCTGTAGTAATTTCTTAAATGCTTTGGTTTTATTTTTCCCCCCACAAGGAAATTCCACACTAAGTATCATTGTTTTATTGTTTCGACATATGTTTATAGTTTCTAATCATTCCTTGTCTCTGAGATGTACTCCGTGCTTTTTAAACTGTTTAATCTCTCTAACGTCTTCCTAAAAACTGCTGCTTTCTCTCTTTCAAGTGAACACAGTCCATGCAAAAAGGCTTTAATTCTCTAAGATGTACAGATTCTTGTGACAGCTATACCAAGACCTGAAACAGGCACTTACTACTGCATGAAACTGCTTTAGTCCTCTTTACTGTAAATACAGTGTTAAAATGTGAATGTATTGTACGACATTGGAAAGCATGCCACAGGATATCAAATCCAAATGTAGCTTTCCTCATTACTCATGTGCTGGCCAAAAATGTCTCATATTCTTTCATTTTTCAGAGAAGGTAACGGCAGCTAAGATTATTGAAGTTTAATCATGTAGTTGCAAGTTTTTATTTATCCTCCCTGAAATAAGAGACATACCGTCCAGAATGGCTGTACATATAATGAGCTTGTGACAGGAACAGTAAAAACAACATTTAAAAAAAAAAAGTTGCTGAATATTTCTAATAAGGCCAGTATGTGGTTGCAGACAATGACTGAAGTAATATAAGGATATAAAATTGGTACATTGCTAAGACCTGCCCAAGGAGAGAATTGTTATCCCACTGAATGAGGTCTCTCATTAAAGTAAATTCAATGTATTAATGTATTTTTCTATCTTGCTTATTTAAAAAACAAAAAAGACAAAGATACTGTTTTGTTAATAGTTTTATATCTGATTTATGCATTTTAATATTGTCATTTGTCCTTGCTGACCAAGAAAAGAACTGTTAGAAAACCATACCTTTGCAAACTTAAAAAATGGCCTGGGATCCTTTCTGAAGTATTCTATATCAAACATTGCTTGAGGATCTGGAAGGTCTGGGAAGTCTACAGCGAGGCGTGCATAGATGCCATCTCTTGATCTAAAGTCAGGTATTCCACAAGACACAGACACCTGAAATATATTTTTGCAGTCTGAAATAAGGAAAACTACGTATTTGGCTATAAAGAGTTGCTGTGATACAAACTATTTGGGAAACCATGTTTTGGTATGCTGACTATTCTCAAGACTTTCAGAACAAAACCAGTCTGGGTTCTCTGTATTTATTTCTATTTTGTTCCCCCCACTCCTCCTTTTTTCTTCTTCTTTTTTTCCTTTTTTTTTTGACCAATAAAACAATTCTCAAATCCCAAAGAGGAGAGACAGCACAGAAAAACCTGTTAGTACAATCTGCACAGGCAGTAATAGGACACTAGAACTTACTTTTACTACTGGAAGTTTTTTAAGAAGTGAACAAAAATACCATTACATTAAATTTAATTAGTAAGTGTTCATTGATCTGTCAACTTAGGCTTGGACAAGGTGGTTGATATACATTTTTTTTAACATGCTAACCAGTAACAAAGTAGACTTCTGATAAATAAAACCCTTTTGATAAATATTGTTTATCAAAGCACTGTAGTAGTCAATAACAACTGAAATTTATTGTCTCAGACTACCTCAAAACACTAAGGAAAAAGGAGGAGAAACAGGAATATCATAACAGTTACAGAAACAGCAAGACTGGGTAACAAATAGGAGTGCTTTTCTAACAAGCTGATTTGAATCACTCATCTTTTTTGAATCATGTCACACCCTCTGTGTATGAACAACAGAAGCAAAAAATTATCAACTTTTGTATCATGATGTGGTACATACGTATAAAGCTGCAAATGTACAACAGCTTAGAAACGTTCTTCAGTAAAACAGCGAGTAAACTTAAAACCATCATAGAGCAGCACATGTGAAAAGTAAGATCTAGTCTACTGAAACCTAATCAAACTCTCCCCTCCCCATAACTCTTCTTTTTGAGTCCTCCTCTTCTAGTCCCTCTAGCTTCATCAGGTATTTTAAGAGATTCACTGACATTTTGCTTAAAAAATCATTACCTTTGTTTCAAATGAAAAAAAAAATGACTAGGATAGAAAATGTTCTGGAACAGGTAGAAGTGATCTTATTCCAAAACTATTTTGCGTGGAAACAACTGTATAAGAACTTAAATGCTTTAAGAGTATCTTCTAATGAGAGATCTTGTAATTTCCAATTTAAGCTCCAGTCTTGCAGGGTGCATCATTCTAGTAGGCAGCTCTGCCTCCTTTTCCCATCTAGCATATTATGAACGTCATGAGGGTCACATCTCCTGCATGCTGTAAAGCACTGGTAAGTATTTAACCAACTGTCTACATATTCTCTCACTCTTAATTGTAGCAGTACATACCCCAGCTCCAGTCAAGACCATTATTTTTTTGCACTCTTGTAAAAGTTTCACAGCATCATCAATAGTATTAATATCTTTTCGTTTTTTCCGTTTTGGTGGTTCTGAAAGAATGTTTATAACAATTTGCCACAGTGTCATATCATCCAGTTCAGGTGGTGGGATTGTTTCTGGTAGCAGGTCTTTCAAAATTGTCCGTGGGTCTGTACCTAACATGAGATGCTGCTGAACGAAAGTGTAGGGACCTAAGGAGGAAAAAAAAAAAAAAAAAAAAGATAGAATTGAGTCAGGTAGTTCAGATTATTATATCATTGCCCCATTTATTAATGCTTGCTACTAACATTTTATTAATCCAGTTTAATACTTTGTTCATCAAAGCCTCTGCATGTTTTGATCTAAATTCTGAGGTGATAGTACAGCTTGAGTTTTTACTCACTATGATGTTAACCCATGAGGGATTTAATGAAAGTTAGTCAAGGTAAAAATCCCAGTTCATAGCAAACTTGATGGCTTTTAGAGGTGCAGTTATTTAGCAATGAGATTTTCACAGTGTATTTCTATTTTATGGCTTCATTTGTATTCTTTCAACATTTTGTAAGGTATTTACAATAATAAGTTGAAGAGACAACAAACACACGTTATAAAACATGACTCTAAAGAGACAAGTAGGGCCCACCAGTCCATGGATTTTTGTTGTTCCTTCAGCCATCTAACACTCATGATTTCAAACATGACCTCTTAAAGCCATCAAATCAATCTTTCCAGAAACACTCAAGATTAGAGCAGTAGAACAGATGAATCTTAAGAAGCTGAACTAAGACAATTCAAATAGCTATCACTAAGGCTAGTTAGAGTACATATAAAGAAAACGACTGTTATACCTATTTACCCAAAAGGTACCAATAGTGATCCTGCAACGAGGGATCAGCAGAGATAGTTTTTAAGTGGAATATTGTGTCATGATAAATGTGTTTTCTTGCTGCTGTTCTTATCAAGACTAACAAAATAAATGCTGTGGTATAGTCACGCCTGGGTAAGACAAAAGACCCAACCCCACTGCACCCTGGAGGCCACTGTCCCACACAAACCACCAGGGACCTGAGCAGTTATCTTGCCTCTGTACAAGGCAAGACTTTTTACTGAGTTCCTAACTGCTATGGTTAACTTTTCTACTGCTAGTATGCAATATATATGCAAACTAATAATTCCCAAACTGATTTAACACTTAGGACAGTGAAGCCCTACAGATTGGCTAAAATCACACACAAATCATCTTCTTGTTCCTTTAAGAATACTAAGTAAATAGGCTAGAAATATGCCAATAGTCTGTTCAGTTTAGTGAACCTGGGTGTATGCTTTTAATACGGATCACAGCCAGTTTTCTACACAAAAAGACATTGACAATTTTAATCAAAATACAGCAGGTTTACAGAGGTTAATTTTTAAACTCCTTAAATAACATGCAGAATAAAGTCAACAACTCTTAGCTGCTCAAAAGCAGTAATTGCCAATTTTTTTTTTTTTTTTTTCAATATAAATCATTTGGAGACCAGGAAGAATTAAGTAACTGTTCAAAGGCAAACAGCATCTAAGAATCATATTATACAGGCTTCTACCTATACGTGGTCTTGGAGTCCAGTCACTAGAACTTGCATGTGAGGCTCTGTCATCTTCATCACTGTCACAAGAGTGAAAACCATTGGCTATGATTTCATCACTAAAAAGGAAGTTATCTGCAAGACAGTACAACAGTGATCAGTGACACTAGAGCTAAATGGCACAGGTATATATTTAAATACATCACAAACCCTGAAATAGTATGCTATAAAATTTGATTGCAATGAATTATAAATAAGCAGTTTTGTCAGTCATGGGAAATTTCTATCTTTTTTTTTTTTTTTTTTTTTTTAGTTCATAGATATGCTTTCAAGCCTTCGGTAGATTTACTGCAGGATTTGCTATCTTAATGCTGGCCTTCAGTGGGCTGGATGTTGACTTTAATGAGATATTCCAAAGTGCTGGGCATTAAGGATTCTGTATCTTAGAAAAAATCCAGGTGTTTTAAAGGTACAGTTAAGAATTATTTTGTCTTACAAATTCTAACTTCAGCTGAGAAACTGGATAAAATGAAAATGCATCACTAGTTACAGACCATTCTATGACCAGGTTTTAAGAGCAGAGTGTTTTCAAAAAAACCCCACAAATACACATTTGGATACAACAAAGTTACAGAATTTTGTTAGGCTGTTACCTTGCAGCTGAGCTGCAGTAGGTGACCATATACACACTTCTGTGGTATTTCAGTTATGACAGAAAATGTGCTACCTTGAACCACCTTCACTTTATCTCATCCATTTTACCCTGCAGCTGGGTTTGGCTTGGAGTACCACACAGTTACTTCAGCTCAGCTCATGGCCTTAAGCCAGAGTAACTCAATCTAAGTTCATCACGTATCTAGACAGAGGAGTCCAAAGAAGAACAAGATACTTGTCTTACAGCATTCATTACTAAGCTAACATTTAAGGGGAAATCTAAATTTTAACCTGAGCAGCTTATCAGTATTTAGACTAAGCTTTTTTTTTTTTAATTGGCTTTATTAGAAATAGCAATAGCAGCTTAATTTTTTGAAAAGCTAATGCTGAACGAAGGAGAACAAGTTTCAGTAAGGCTCTCTAAAGCAAAGGATCACTATAATAGTTTTCAATTGCTATTTGAGTAAGCCCTTACAGTATTTTAATTAGGCTACCTCACTTTACTCTTAAATAAAGAACACCACAAAACACCGTCATTTTTTATTCAGAGATTTTGTTGTCCTTTCTGTTGCTGGCATAAGTACTTTATTCTGGTTAGAATGGAAAGAGGTAGAGGACAGAAATTTGCTTTTTGTACTTGCCGTCTTGTTATTCTGAGACCACAGATACTCACTGACATTGCCGTTTCTTATTATTAATCTATGCATTTACAGCATTTCAGTTCCATCTCATTATGCATGAAGTCAGTGAACATACTACGCAGAAAGCATTATTATGAAGAAAAAAGTTGACTGGTACACATCAGTAAGTGTGAAGTGCAAGATTTACTACAACCACCTTTATGTCTACTGTATAAAGAATCAAAGGTTACAGTGTTAAAGACTCATCACATACAGGTCCCACTGTCTTGTATTTAAAAAACACCGTGACACATACATGCAGGCTAAAGCAACGGCTTAAACTGTAACGCTCCCTGTGTATCCATTTGATTCTTCAAAGGACTAAAGGGAATGCTTGCCAGAACTAAGCAATCCACAGCAAAACATGGCTGAGGACCTGAGTAACTTGAGCAAAACCGCTTCATACAAGGCACTGATAAGAAATCATTAGCTTTACTCTTGTGCTGTTCCAATTAAGTTTTTAAATACCAAGGCTGTCAAAGCTTATCATACAGCTCTGTTCCCTTTTGGATTGCTTTTGTGCAGGCAAAGAATTTCTGTAGAATTTTACTACTGAGTTCAAGGTAAAATATTTTTTAATTGCATTCCAGAATAAAATGTAAAGACTTTACTAGCAGAATGCAGCACCTTAGATCTTTTAAGAAGTCTTTCCAAAGCACTACCTTAAAAACCAAAATGAACCAACCCCTCCCCCCGCAAAACCTATCCATTTCAATAATGCAATGCAAGGTATGTTCATTCTGATACTGCCCTAACAGTATGCTTCTAACATTATCTGCAAAGAAACTCTTTCAGAAGATTATAGTTTAGTTTTGTACTGCAGTCACTGAACTCTTAACGAAGACTGTAACTTGAAGTTATGTAAAGACTTGTTCAAGACCGCTGCTCCTGTGCTTTCTGTGCAAGTTTCCAAGAAACAGAAACAAATATCACAGCAGAGATTGTGAAAAGGAAACAGAGCTTATGATTTTTAATAACTGGTTGCCAGCAACACAGCAAAATAAATGTTTTCATAAAAAAGAGCCAGGTCGATCTTCTCTTATAAAGGAGCTCCTCCTTCTCCAAAGCCAAACAAAAAAGAACAGGCATTGCCAAGGCCTGATTAGAATTAGCACTGATAAGGTTTAGAAAAATGGATGCAGCAGCTAGCTCGAGTTTGTATTTAATGTACGGTTCAGGAGATGTACGGATCAGAGCGTGCGTTCAGGGATCACCCCGCACGCAGCGCCCGCTAGTAGCAGCGCCCTCTCCCCACCCAGGCCGAGGCAGAACAGCGCTGGCCCCGGGCTGCAGCAGGTGAACACCGGCCCTCCCCGCAAGCG